GGCCTGCATCCGAAGAAGATTTTGCTATCCATATGGTGGGATCATCGTGGTGTGCTGTTTTACGAGCTGCTTCCTCAGGGAAAAACGATCGATTCGAAGGTCTACTGCACGCAGCTAACGAAATTGAATCAAGCATTGCGACAGAAACGTCCAGAACTGGTCAATCGCAAAGGTGTCATATTCCACCATGACAACGCCAGACCCCACACCGCAATAATCACTCAGCAAAAATTAGTGCAACTTGGCTGGGATGTTTTGCCTCACCCACCGTATTCACCAGACCTTGCGCCATCCAACTACCACTTGTTCCGGTCCCTGCAAAACTCCCTCAACGGGAAATCATTCGCTGATCAGACAGCTGTGAAAACGTATCTCGACCGGTTTTTCGCCTCTAAGCCCCAGACCTTCTATGAGAGCGGAATAATGAATTGTTGGAAAGATGGCAAGTGGTCATCAACAAAAACGGAGAATATATCATTGATTAAAATTCATCCTTTGTATGAAAAAAACTTGTTTCATTTTAGCCTTTAAAAACCGAACGAATATATGGATCCACCCATATATGGAATACTGCGAAATATACATATACGTGCTAATTATTTTGAAAAATATGACGACTTGAATTGTTTTAGAAGATTTACGTTACGAAAACAATCCGTTATAAATATATTAGAACAAATTCAAGATCGCCTGTAGTATACACATTACAGGTAAAATTTTCTTATTAATCCAAAATTTTTTACACGTTTTTAATAACATTACATATTACAAAATGTTTTTAACATAAAGTTACACACGCACGCACGCACGCACGCACGCACGCACGCAATATGCTACAATTGTAATATATGTTAATTACAAATATTATTAACAATTACATTATAATTATTTATGTGAGAGAACACATTTTAAAAAAATTATTATTAAAAGAAGAAATAATTTTACTCTTCTAGAAATAATCTAATAACACCAATGCAACAATTGCTCATTGCTTTACATTTATACGCGACTAATGGATTTTTTATAACAATGGGTGAATATGGTGGAATGGATAAATCTACAGTTTCAAGAATAATGGTAAGATTGTCTGAAGTTA